AGATACCGTTAGATTTGTTACAGTGTGGTGTGCTGCTTCTAGCTGTTTCAGCACACTGACACAGTTAAAAGGAGAAACTGCATGAAATCTTGAAGAAGGGAATATCATTGTGGCGCTCGGGCCCGGCTGTGATGTGGCGTAACACGATGAGCCACTAGGAGTGCAGATTACTCCCTGGGTGTATAGTGTATTCCCCGAGCCGATCAGAGAACAAACTGTCCATCAGCAGGGACCCTGTGAGGCCTCTGACATTGGCCTGTTTAGTTTAAACACTCCATCCAGGTCACGGGACGGAAATGAACCAAAATCCCAGGAGATCAATGAAGCTGAATTACTGTGAGCTGGACCCAAATATTAAGCAAATATTAAGAACCCAACTCAAGTTCACTCGACAAAGTCAGTTTTGAATTGCTTGAGGACCACACAGCACGTCTTCTCCCCTTGTACAACTCTGAATCCCACCTCTGACTGGCCTTTATTCTATTGTTAAAGGAATTCTGGGCTGAAGGCTAAATGACCAACTAGGGCTTTACTGAGTGGCCTGTTGTCACTGAAGCATCTTCTGTACTTGATTTGGACCAAGTGTTCTCTGTCAGTGAATCGATGGGAGTCTGGCCTCCTCATATTACACCTATCTGAGATGATGTTATCAAGGTTGTACAGTGGAGTCACAGAGCTGCACACACAATTATCGGGTTGTCATGATTCAATTATTATCTCATTTCTACAGTTGCATCCCCTTTGTCAAGGAATGTCATATCCCCTTGCTCAGTTTGTACAATATGTACCAACTTGTATTACCGGTTCTGTTAGGATTTCCAAAAGGAGCAACTTTATATAAGTATGTTTAAGTACAAGCTGATATTATCCATTAAGCCTCTGTGTCATGTGTTCCATGACATGGAGTTTACCTTGTCCTTTTCTGCTTTTAGATATTTGCCACAAAACCTCATATAGACAGCCAAACCAAAAGATCAGACCTCAACCGTCTTTGCTTTTTCACATCTAACTCACCATTTAACAGCTGAGGTGCAGGTTTAATTGACTGACATGGTGCTGAAGTGACAACTGATCAATCACATAAACAAGACCTCTGACCTCTGAGCAGAAACCGATTTAAACCGGCGAATACAAAACAACGTAAGTGTTCACAGGTCCCGTGTTAACTGACCGATGCCTACCTGTTATCAGACTGGATACCAATAAGGGGAGAACGAGCATCTGAAGCATTCTCATCAACAGCTCTCCAGGGAAGGAGAAGTACTTCACCTCCCGATAGGTCATCTTATATGGCCGCAGCAGGAATCCCAGAACAATACCTGCACAGTGAGTGACAGCATTATGTTCTGGATCTTCCTGTGGAGGGTTGCCAATGCAAAGGAGATGCAGACTGAATGGACATTTAGCTTGCAGACGCATACCCACCTACAATGACCGCTCCAACAGTAAAGAGCACAAAGGCATTCTTCTTTAGGAACGCCTGGACGTCCTCTTTAGAGATCTCCTCCACTTTCCTCTTTGCCTTCATTGTACGTATGTGAACACCTTCCCGGAGTCGCTGCATCCTGCAGTGGACAACATGTGCATTAGCGCCAGCGGGCGTCTGCGTGAACAGGCACTGAGCAGACGTGGCTACCGTGTTGGTCAAGAACATTTGGGGTTTGGATAAGTTTGTTTGAACACAATGCTTGTACTTCCGTTTGTCTTTCACTGTGTTCACTGGGCTGCATTCAAGTTGCCACTTTTTAACGTGACTAGTATTCCTGCGGCTGCTTTTTGGAGTAGTTTGTCAGAGGTCTTTGCGTGAGACAATTGGACAGGACCAGCGGAACAACACGGAGGTATTATTGATATGTTGGTGAGCACAATGCAGACCTTGGTTGTCCAACACTGATCATTAACACAAAACACGTCTGGTTTTTCGTTAAGGCCTGAAACGCATGAGTCTGACTTGTTGACTGCATTAGTTGTCCCACTCCCAGCAGACGTGACCCTGTGGGTTTGTGTGTGAGTGTGTGAGACACCTCAGCCTTCACAGACCAGCTGCTCCTGTGTCTGTGCAAAATAAGAACTGAACACAAACCAACTGGCCATGATATTGATTATTATATTTTGTTTAAGTTTATAATAAAGGACAAAGGTGAGACAGTCAGTCCTCGATGTTAATTACGTTAGTTCTATTGTTGCCCAACAGAAAACACAAGGAGGGAATTATGTAACTTTGGTGCTCAGGGTGCTGAAGCGTCCTGCAGGCAAACGCTGGATGAGGCAACATGATCTAAACTAAGAGATCATTTCACTTAGAAGTAAGTATCTGATATTAAAATCAAAGGAACTCTGCAGAAGTACAGAAATCAGCGTCATGCTACTCTGTGCGTATTGTAGGGCAAAGAAGGAAAGGGATCTCAGGAGCATTATGAACGTGAAGTGGAATTCTAGTCCAATGACTCTTAGACGAGCACAGAATTTATTTCAATAAGTAGAACATTTCTAACATTAAAAAGACAATACGTTTAGGACTTTATACATTTACTGGAGGCGTTACTGTCATTCCTTTGCAAATGATTCCTTCTGCTACAAATTCTCTACTTAAAGAGTAAATTGAACTCAATATCTTCTCTCTTGCGTCCAATGGTTTCTAGTCAGGTTGTCTCTTTTGAATAGATTCTCATTTGTCAGCTCTATGAATAAAATGCCATTCGCTTTTATCCCATTGGGGCAGAGGTAAATATTTGAACTAAAACGTTCCAAATAAAATAAAATGTCCATCTTCTATTGCAGTGACCACCTTAGCTTTCAGCTGCAATTAAAAAGAACAGCATCCAATACAAGTGTGGGCAGACGAGTGTCACGTACCTGGTCAGACCTGGTGGTTCTTCGGTTGTCAGAGAGCTCCAGCGTTGGCGCTGTGAGGCGGCGACTGGAGATGGACCTCTAACATGAAGCACTTGGAGCGTGTGGGAACCTTTGTAATTGGAAAACAAGGGAGGGGAGACATCCAGAAAGAGAGACAAGGGGGAGGGGGGGGGGACAAATTAGAAGTGCTCCTCCCATAATAACACTGTTAGCCCTGTGACACAGTTTCAGGTGAAACCCAGATTGGTGGAAAACTTTGTTGAGAGTTATAAAAATTGTCCCAGTATTATTCTGGAATGATCCATCTAAAGCTAGAAATCTTCCTCACCTTCCTTCCTCTCATCCCCTCCTCTTCACATTGGTCTCTTCTTGCAACGGAGGCTGTGTATCAAAGACAAACACGCTAAATGTACTTGGCGACATCAAACAATAACCAGGTTTAATTGATACGCATCATCTCACTTGGGAAGTGTTATAGTTTGAGGTAATTCCACAGAGTCAATGACACACCACAATTAGCTGTTTAAGTAGAGCTGGTGCAGTAATAAGTGACCTCACTGTATGGAAAATGTTCCCTGGTGGTGGTGAATATAATTAGTGAAGAATATCCCTCAAATCAGGTCACACGGCCTTTTACAAACTTCACTCACTGTCACACTTATGAATGAAACATTTCTGATTGTTCATACAATAATCTCAGAGTCGCACTAGTATTAACGCTTCAAAATTCAGTTTTCAGACCCCTTAGTTGAGCTTTCCGTCCAGGCTTATACCCAAAGATGAGCTGAAGATGAGCTGTGTGTTACGAAGAAGAATTTAGGATCAAGCACTGAATTTGATTTCATGTCTCATGACCACATAATAATGGTAGAAACGCATTACTTGAAATAAGGTTTATCGGCCAACTGTGCACATTCGACTCCAGTTTTCTGTTGCTCTCAATGTTCTACGTACTATACACATAAAACAAGGACAAAAACGTATTCATTTTTTCAATTCATTTTATTTTGTAAAGCCCAAATTCACACATTACAGGGTTTTCACCGTCCTCCTTATCCACATCCGTCCTGTTTGGTGGCTGATTCAAACTACACAGCAAACGGTGGACTGTAACAGTGTGTGTGCTGTTTCCCATTCACACACTTGGCAGTGGCAGAAGTATCTGTTTGTAGGAGTACTCCGCTCTCCTCTGCAGGTCGATGACTGTGCAAAGAGCAGATGTCAGGATGTAGAACCTGATCAGCAGCTCCTGAGCGTTTGTATGATTCAAAGAAAGGGTTTAGCCCCAAGGGCAGTGGCGTATTTTCATACAAACCAGAACGCACGCACATATGTAGCATGTCAGGGTTATAAATAACTTTCAGGTGAAAAACAATAGTTTTTTAGAAGTTTTTATAATTTAATGACATCACCAACATTACAATAAAAAAGATTTTATTTGTTTTAAAGGCAATAATAGGTATTTGAGAACTGGCTGTATTATTTTCCAGGTTGTTTGCGAAGGACTGAACACCAGGCTTTCAAATGAGTTATAATCCAGTTTAGATTTAAGGTTTATTAAAAGGCAGGAGTCATAAATACCTGTATCAAAATACATGACTTAGAGGAGTCGCTTCATTTAAGCTGAAATATTCCCCATTCGACAGCCTTTAGTTAGTTAATTTACTAAAACTGCTTTAGATGATCTAATATTCTCAAAGTCCCCCTTTAATCCTCATATTTTGTTGCATTGTTGCATTATTGGTTTTAACTTTGATTAAGTTATTTAGTATAACTTCTCGGTTGTTTACCTTAAGGTTAGGGTTTTCATTTGGTATTTTCTGAATTACATCCTCAAACTTGCTCTTACAATTTTATTCGTGTATGGGCCACTTTTAATCTGAGTTTTGGGGAAGATATTAATATTGTATAGTTCTCAGATGTTATATTTTACAATAGATAATGAGGCTTTTTTCCTCATTAATCTTAATTGTAGCTACATTTCACGTTCAGAAAAGTAGATTATATAAGAAAATATTGTTTTCATGAGGCCAGGGTGTCAAAGACTGTATGCAATATATTGACTACGTTAAACGACAACCAATCCGACCCCGTGGCCGCGTCGGGTGACCTGTCAGTCGGGCACGTGGCCGTGAAGGCCCCGCGGACACGCGCTTATCTCTGACGTCACGCAGCCTACTTGCAGCTCGGCGACGTGCTGGGGGTCGCACGGGAACGTACGCGCGGTGAGGCCGATGTGTCCGCTGTAGTCGCCTGTCCTCCCCCCGCTTTACCTCGAGTATAAAAGTGGGTCGCACCCGGGGAGCGAGCCCCGGGTCCGGTGTAAACTTGTGGTAAGAGTCGCGGCTTAGCAGGACCGGTAGCTTAAGTGCTAACTGTTAGCTTCTTATGCTCCGCTGGTAACCGAATACGGACCGCGGCGTCGAATACCGGTCCGACTGTGTCACCGGGTCGCCAGGGCGAGCTTCGGGAGACCCGGTAACCTTCCGCGGTTAGCTGGACTTGTGTCCCACGCCTCAGGGCGCAGAATAACCTCTGGCCGCCGACGTGTCATGTGACCCGCGGGTCCGCTACGGAACGACAGAGACCCGATCCGACACGTGCGGCGGGACATGCTCCGCAGTTAGTGGCGGCGGTCCCACCGGTCAGGATGAGCGGTCTCGCGGGGGGGAGGTGGGTGCGCCTCGGGCTGCGGGCTGTCCGTCTGCTCACCGGGACCGCTCCTCGGCCCTTCCACGCCTCCGCGAGCGTCGCCGCTTCGCCGCCCACGGAGGGCTTCAAACCGGGGAAAGTCGCGGTCGTCACGAAGACGACGCGCTACGAGTTCGAGCAGCAGCGGTACCTGTACGCGGGGCTCTCTGAAGAGGACCTGAAACAACTGGTAAGGCTGCCGGCTCCCCGTTGCTGCCCGCGGGCTCCCCGTTGCTGCCCGCGCTGAAGCCCGTGTCTGTGCTCCGCAGCTCGCCATGAAGGGCTCCAGCTACAGCGGCCTGCTGGAGAGACACAACATCCACACCGGCAACGTGCAACACGTCGTGACCAGCCTGCGGTGAGACGTGCTCCATCACGGGAGCCACCCGGGACCCCCGGGACCCCCACACTGACTCTACTTCTGTGATACAGGAAAGAAGGCATCGAGGTGCGCGTGGTGAAGAGGGGAGAATATGATGAAGAAGTGGTCCGATGGGCTGATGCCATCATCTCTGCTGGAGGTACGAATGTTACATCATCATTTGTGATGCAGCCTTCTCTGCAGTGATTCTGGGGGGCCAAAAGTCCCCTGAACAAAGGCTTCACACAAAGGCTTCACACGTGCAAACACACCAAACAAGTTCTCTAACGCATGTTTGTGTTGTTAGGTGACGGGACGATGCTACTCGTTGCCAGTAAGGTTTTAAGCAAAGACAAACCAGTTGTGGGCGTCAACACAGACCCTGAAAGGTAAATGCCTGCGCTCAGGGTGTTAAATAAACCATCCCACCTGATGTACTGGGGGGGTGCTGGGGGGGGGTACTGGGGGCTCTTTGGAGAGTGGTGGCTGTTTGTTTACAAGGGCTCGAGACATGAGGTACAATGTGTCATGACCGCCCTAAAACTGCGTTGCGCTCCTCTTTCTTTCTCTTTTATCTGCAGGTCAGAAGGTCATCTCTGCCTCCCCGTGCGCTACACGCATGCCTTCCCAGAGGCCCTGGAGAGACTCCGCCGTGGTGAGTTCAGGTGCGTATTTACCCCGTAGCAACGCTAGCCTGCTTGTGCTTTGTCTTATCTCTAGTGAGCATGATGCCCTGTCAGTTCTTACTAGCGTGTAATCTAGTATATACGCCTACAGCGAAGTAACGCCTACAGCGGAGTAACGCGTACAGCAAAGTAAGGCGTGGGCCGGCTGGACTGGTTTTCGAAGTGGAGGGTGGCTTGAGTTCGAGAGGTTAAGTCGTGTGTCTGGTAAAAGTCACGTGGTTTCTAAAATCTGACTGCCGCCTTCGGATTATGTCAAACCGAGTACATCCAGTAGCTGTCTGCAGACATCTACCTGCTACTAGAGGTCACTAATCTAATAAACTAATAATCAATATTTACTCCAACCTGCAGCTCAGCTAAGCTGGTGTCCTCACAGCTTCTAGTAAAACTATTGATTTGGGGGATTTTCTGGTCAATGTACGTTGAGATTAGTTAATGGATTAATTTGTTACGTCAAGGTCAGTAACTTCTTGGGACAAATTCCTATTGCTAATGTTGTCATTGATCGTATTTTCACTATGTATGCAGGTGAATAAATATTTATAGTGCGGCATTAATACATCGAGACTGTCAGCCACAAATATGGGGGGAAATAAAAACAGGGTCGTCTTTGATACGTCAGTGTCTCCAGGTGATCCACGATCCACCTGTTGAAACAATTGGCTATAGTTGTTTCTCAGTGAATTGATATGTTTGTATAGACTACATGGTTGTGTAAGAAACACGGTAAGTATTCATAGTTAGTGTTCATGTGTCGTTAAGGTGATCTGAGTAGTATGAGACCAGTACAGTCCATTTCTCTTGGCTGTGCAATGTCCTAAAGATGCGCCTGCTGGTGCTCTGTCCTCTGCTGTGTCCAGGTGGCTGTGGCGTCAGAGGACCCGCGTGCACTTAGAAGGCACCGGAATCAACCCAACCTCCGTCGACCTGCACGAACAGCAGTTGAGCCTGGAGCAGCACAGCCGAGCCCACCGCATCAGCACCAGGGGCAGCCAGCAGAGTAGGACTGTCTCTGTGTCTCGTTCTGACAACCTGGCTGTCCCTCTGTCTCTAACCTTCTGCTTGTCATTGTGCAGTCTGAAGAGGAGCTTTGTGCTTTTATTGTGAAACGGGAAGCTGTTACTGTTTAAATTTGATTTCTATCTTCTTAAACTGAGGATCTTTTTCTTCAGTTGAACCAGTGTTTAAATCTCCATTTACTAAACTAAATAACATCTTTTAGTAAAGACACTTAAGCATTTGGTCCTTGTCCTCCTCTAACGCGTCTGGTTGCTGTGTGCAAGTAGCTTATGAACCGGTGAACAGTTTGGGCCAGTAGCTTATGAACCGGTGAACAGTTTGGGCCAGTAGCTTATGAACCGCTGAACAGTTTGGGCCAGTAGTTTATGAACCCGTGAACAGTTTGAGCCAGTAGCTTATGAACCGCTGAACAGTTTGGGCCAGTAGCTTATGAACCGCTGAACAGTTTGGGCCAGTAGCTTATGAACCGGTGAACAGTTTGGGCCAGTAGCTTATGAACCGCTGAACAGTTTGGGCCAGTAGCTTATGAACCGCTGAACAGTTTGGGCCAGTAGCTTGTGAACCGGTGAACAGTTTGGGCCAGTAGCTTATGAACCGCTGAACAGTTTGGGCCAGTAGTTTATGAACCCGTGAACAGTTTGAGCCAGTAGCTTATGAACCGCTGAACAGTTTGGGCCAGTAGCTTATGAACCGCTGAACAGTTTGGGCCAGTAGCTTGTGAACCCGTGAACAGTTTGGGCCAGTAGCTTGTGAACCCGTGAACAGTTTGGGCCAGTAGCTTATGAACCGCTGAACAGTTTGGGCCAGTAGCTTATGAACCGCTGAACAGTTTGGGCCAGTAGCTTATGAACCGCTGAACAGTTTGGGCCAGTAGCTTATGAACCGCTGAACAGTTTGGGCCAGTAGCTTGTGAACCCGTGAACAGTTTGGGCCAGTAGCTTGTGAACCGGTGAACAGTTTGGGCCAGTAGCTTGTGAACCGGTGAACAGTTTGGGCCAGTAGCTTGCGAACAGTTTGGGCCAGTAGCTTGCGAACAGTTTGGGCCAGTAGCTTGCGAACAGTTTGGGCCAGAGGCTTGCGAACAGTTTGGGCTCCAAGTGTTCGATGACTTGTAGTTGATGCTTGTATTCTCTCGCTGTTCTGTTACTAATTCAGGGGCAGGAATGCTATATGACAGCTTCTCCAGGACCAGTCTGCTTCCTATCAGAAGCCTGAATGAAATCTTCATCGGAGAGTCTTTGTCCTCCAGGTACCTCTATCATCCTCCTGTGCTTCTGCCTGTGTGTAAACGTGCTGTACTAGTGTGCGTGTCCTTCAAACCTGCCGCTCCACAGGGCTTCCTACTACGAGATCTCTGTGGATGACGGCCCGTAGAGAAGCAGAAGAGTTCAGGACTCAGCGTTTGTACAGGAACAGGATCCAAAGCCTGGTAAATAATGCCTTCAATGGAATATACAAAGATTTATTTATCTTGACCCATTCTCAATATGAGGCCACTTTCTATTGGACAGTACAGCAGTTTCAGGGACGTCTTTGGTTGTCTCAACAAAGAAAAGAAAGCCTATTTACCGTCCTCCGTTATGGGGACGGTCTGTGGGACGACTGCAGTTGACACTATGAACATTATGCCGCCTTTCAGTTGGAACGAGACATTTCCCTTTCTGTTGTTTTCCTCAAATAGAAAATCCACTAATAATAATATATATATGATGTTAATGTAAAATGAATGTTTTGTAAAAAGCCATCAGCTGTCCACTGGGACCGAGATGAGAAGACTGATGTCAATCCCGCTGTCGTCATGAACTACTGCTTTGTAATTGAGCCTCGGTCTATTAGAGGTCCGCTCTTTGAGGAGCCTAGAAGCTTTAGGAAGCTCCGTCCAGCTGTAGCAGCGAGCAGGGAGCCTCCACGCGGTGCGTGAGCTGCGAGAAGCCTTTTTTATGCTCGATGCCCGATGGAGCACTGCGGGACCTCCAGTGCTTTGATCAGTGGACTATTTCACGCTCCACACAAGCGTGGTGATGTGATTCTGTGGCGAGCGCCTCAGCCAGTCTGCGTGCAGCAGTCCTAAAGCACACCGGTGCTTGGTAACGGGCGCCGTGATCATCAGACCGACGGGGTCCATCGCGCTCACTGACGAATATTTTCTCTCTGTTCAGGTCATATAACATCAACAAACTGACCGAACAAGCTGTGGAGGAGGTTCTAAGCATTGGTTCGTACCTTTTCACAGGCTGTCGTATTGAGATCCAACTGAATCCACGTGTCTCCTGAACGTCTCTCCTTTCTCTCTTTTCAGGAAAGTCTCAAATGGGTCTTGATATGCCGCTTGATCGTGACATCGTGGAAAAGGGTGATGCTCGTCCTCCTTTGTTTCTGTTTGACTGCTACATATTTTGGCACTCTGTCCCATGACCGCGGCGTCTGTCTGCTCCCTCAGTGACGGACGAGTACAACGAGTCTCTGGTGTTCAGTCCGGACGACAGGCGCTTGTTCTACAGCATCAGGGAGCCCATCGTCAACCGCGTGTTCTCCAGCAGCCAGCAGAGAGGCTTCGCTAGCAGGTCAGTGGACGCCGCTCGCCGCCACCACAGTAACCGTACGAAGAGCAGCGTCTGACCGGCCCTCTGCTGCAGGGTGTCCGTGCGCTCCCGCTGCTGGGACGCCTGCATGGTGGTTGACGGCGGCACTTCATTCGAGTTCAACGACGGCGCCATCGCTACCATCAGCATGGCGGAGGAGGATCAGCTGCGCACCGTTGTTCTTGAACATTGAGACGTCTGGACTGGTTTCAGGCACCTTCATGGCTTTTAGCCTCCAAGTGGTGAATAATGTTCTACCTGAAGGAAAGGGGTCACTGTTACTATTGTTTTTTGAAATGAGTGCATTTTTACAAGCTATGTATTTTCAAAAACCCTTTTATCTTGCCTTGTATTTGTCTTTCCCTCTATCGGGTTACAAAAATCCATGATATAGATTTGTGTAGTGGGTCACAATAACTAGGTAAACACCACTCTGTGTGGTCCTTTCATACCCGTGTTGCCACAGGTTCCTGATTTTTAAAGTACGAACTCTTCTAAATTTGTATTGCCAACAAATACTAATGAGTTCCGATTCTCAGCACGATCTGTGTCGCTCAGGTTCCGAAATTAATGTAAAGGTTCCCTATCCAACATGCAAAGAATTAATATCATCAATAAGTATTGTCAAAGAGTGCGTGTGTGTGTGAGACCGATCGGTATTGGTGCACGTGAGCGAGCCCACATCAGGTAAATGCTATTGGATGTTATTAGTTAGCATTGTTAGCTATTAGCAAGTTTGAGCTGTGTGATAATTCATTATAATTGATCTACTTTTAATTAAATCCTTGATTCATTCAAAAAGCATTTATATCATTTAAATTGACAACTAGCACACATTATTGGGATATAAAAATGACTTATTGTGATCGAGTTTCCTCCCTTGATATGCTCTGAATTTCTGTGTGTGTGTGTGTGTGTGCGTGTGTGTGTGTGTGCGCGCTGAGGAAGAGGAGACCTGCACACGCTCTACTCGTTGGTAGAAACACTCCCTGCTGGTCTGCGTCGGCTCCTTCATGGACCTTAACGCAGTGCGTGACCTGCAGACGTACCTGGTGCTGCTTTGAAGCTTTATGTGCTGAGCTGAAAGAACGGAGTCCGTCTGTTGACTGGAGATATTTTTGTTACATAGCTTATATTTTGTTCTAGATGAATCCCCCCCCCCCCCTCCAGCCTGCAGGGGTTCTGTGTTTAGGTCACGAGAGTCGTGCGTCACGTCTCAAGGACCACAGGTGCTTCTGAAGGTCGTTTGCGGACCGGCCTCAGTCCGGGTTGGAACTCGATCTCACACAAAGCGAAACGCCGCTCAGCCCGTGGACACTAACTGTTGGAACAAGGATCATGCTGGAAGTATAAAGATCGTCTGTGTAATGATTTCTGACTCCAGCGCGTCTCTTGTAACAGTCGGATACTGTTCCTTTACAACAGCTGTGATGTGCAGCGCGCCAAACGCAGGCTTCCTCAGCAATATGATGTCAGTATGTTGGGATGGGTTCGTTTTTTTCAATCCGATAAAGTATGAAACACGTGTTTGTGTGCGTGTGCTTATTTAAACCCCCCATTGCCCTGTTTGCATCGCTGGTAGAGGTATCAGTATAGTTCTGATAATTATCCAGAGTGCTGCTGCTGACTCAAACTATTCATTTAAATCAAATCCATGTTTCATCAAGGTCATTCAGAAGAACTTCACATGAAACCATCAAAACATGAGGCAGAACCACATGTAAACACTATACATTGAAACATTAATCAACAAGCAAGCTACTAATCGAACAAAAGGTGCAGCGCAGATTATGAAATAATCCGTAGAAAGTGTCCAGTGAACCTGCAGCAGGTCGCACGTGTGTTTTGTCTTACAGTAGTCCACTACTGAAGACGAACAGGTTTTTCCAAATCCTGTTAAATAAGTCTCGATTCCATGACGTATTCTTCAGGTGACAATCTGCTGCTATATGGCAGATTGAGGTCCGAATTCATAACTACAAGTTTTCTGGCTGTGTTTGTGGTTTTTAACTTCAGCAATTGACTTTTAATCGTTCGCCCTCGTCTCCAAAAACATTTACTCCTGTTTTCTCTTTAATTGAAGAATATTCTGCCACAACCTTTGTACGGGATTATGATCCCCCAGTGAAATAACTACGTAGACGTGCGTGTCGTCTGACAAATGATGAGAGCATTCTTTGTCTCTTATGTTGAACAGGACGGGCCTCTAATCATCCTAAACATTTGCTATAAGTGAGCCCATGTCTTCATAACCGTATCCTTTAATGTTCAACACGCTTCATCGTCCTTGTCCCTCCGGTCTCGATGCGTGGCTGTGTTGTGTCTGTACACACACATAATGCTACTGGCTGTTGTATCGATGTACACTGGAACACACCGAATGCTTCATATTACAACAGGGGCTTCATACATTTTCCACAGAGGACACTTTGACTGAGAAGCACACAATATTACAACGGCTGAATTCCATTTAGCTCTGGTTCTGAATGCTGGATCACCTCCATGGTTCGTTTGGACTTTCAACAGTCGTGCTTGTCCAACTCTGACCGTTCACAACGTGTGTGTGAAAATGCCAGTTCTGATTGTGTGTATGAGTTCTGATGAATAAACATCCTGTTTGCAAACAGTAGTACAGCGGTTTGTGAAGCAAAATGTGGTTTATTCGTCTGTCCTCATGACCTCTGACATTTACACTTCATTGATTAGATTCAACTTTATTGTCATTGCCCAGGTTACAAGTACTGAGGCAACGAAATGCAGTTTACCATCCAACCAGAAGTGCAGAATAGCAAAAAGTGCGTATGTGCACATGTAAAGTGTAATACGTGTTTAAATAGATATGTACAGTAAGAAATAGATATGCAATATGAACAGTAATTGGGACAAGAATAGCAGCAATTGAGGTAAGAAGGTATGATAAGTATATGTAATGTGCAGGTGTATTAGTGGTGGTAATAAGTGAGATGAAGTGAAAGAGGTATTAGTAATATTATATTTAAGAGGTATTATAAGTAGGATTAATACAGTAATAAGGGTGTGTGGCAATCGAGACAGGGTGGAGGGGGGAGTACAGTCACTGAGGGAGATGTGTGTGTGGGGGGGTGGGGGGCAGAGTTCAGTAGAGTGACAGCCGCAGGGATGAAGCTGTTCCTGAACCTGCTGGTCCGGGAGCGGAGCACCCTGTAGCGCCTCCCAGAGGGGAGGAGGGCAAACAGTCTGTGGCTGGGGTGAGAGCTGCGTGCCCTCCGCAGACACCTCTTGCTCTGGCCGGCCTCAATGGTGGGGAGTCAGGAACCGGTGATGCGTTGGGCGGTTTTCATCTTCTTCACCAGGGATGAGGTGTTGAGGGTCCAAGAGGTGTCCCTGTGGACACCCAGGAACTTGAAGCTGGCGACACGCTCAACCTCCCGTTGATGTGGACGGGGACGTGTGTGCCAGCTTTCTTCCTGAAGTCCACAATTAGCTCTTTGGTCCTCTTGGTGTTGAGGGCCAGGTTGTTGTCGGCGCACCACGCCGCCAGGTGCTGGACCTCGTCTCTGTAGGCCGACTCGTCGTGGTCACTGATGAGGCCAATCGCCGTTGTGTCTCAATGCCGTTTACGCACCTCTGGGATTATTTTGGGGTCAGGGGTCATTGTGCCGCCAACTCCTCAGCAAGGAAAGTTGCTATTGGCCGTCATAACGTCGCTAAATGACGCCATCGCATAGTTTGCGGCGTCGTAATGGACGCTGAAGAATTAAGACACGTGTGTCTTTCACGTCAGACGCCAAAAGACTCCAACGCCTCCGGGGAGGCCGCTTAAAACTCCATCGTCGCTTTTGACAGAAAAGGGGTTTATTCACTAAATGTTTAATTGTTACTGTATCAAACCTTCTCTGTGCTTTACAAAACCCTTATGAATGTAGCCCCGCGTGATGTGATACGACGGCCCTGAAGTAAACGTTTACCTCAGTAACGCTTTATGTTTCTCCCAGACAATAACAGAACACCCAGACGTCTTTATTCACCGATGGTACCGACCGGCCCAAACACCCAGAAAGCCTTTAATGACTCTGACAGAGTCTCGTGGCGCGTTAATTAAAGACAAAGTCACTATGTGTGTTGTTATGAAGCGGTTGTACACAATGAAGCGGTGACACGAGGAGCAGTCGGGGTGTTCAGTGGTTTACTTGTTCAGACTCAACATCATCCTTCATTTGAACGATATATTCATACAGCACATCAATGGTGACACACAGTGAGCCTGCAGACGTAACAGACGCGAATATGGATACATCATTTTATGCTCATTAAAATCATGTGCTAACTCATTATTACAGCTAAGAAGACATTTCTGTCATCAGTATTATTTCACATTACTCAGGCATCTGCTAATTGAGTCTTTACACCAGGTTTCCCTTACGATTCTTTTTAAATTAACACATTATTAGAACATGTAATCCATTAAAAATGTTTAACACATTCCAGCCAGAAGTGGACTCCACGATCCCATCTGACCTCCCTAAAAGAACGTATAGCGTTCACCTACAAAGCGTGCGCGTTCAGTACGGAAAGACTCGCTGTAGGAAGCCGCCGTTGACGCGTAGAAACATCTCCGGTAGCAGCGACAAACACTGGAACGTGGCTCGTCACGGCACCACGGGCCGACTCCTGCAGGATCCAACACCCTGCAGCGGGAACAAGCCGGGCTTCAGGCAGACGGGTCACTGCTGGACCCTCAGCCGACACTTCCTGCCCCACATGAAGTGGGCGAGGGGCCCGGAGGCCGGCGTGGGCCGGGCGACGCCGGAGAAGGGCCTGGAGTTGATGGCGACGCGAGGCATCTCCTTCTTCAGGGAGGACAGGTGGCTGCCGCTCACGATGCCGAACGCGTCCAGCAGGCTCAGCCCGGGGAAGGTCGTATCCAGGTCCCTGGAGAAACACCAGGCCGTCAGGCTGAAGTGCAGCTACGCAGCCCGGGGAGCAGGACGGGACGGGGGGGGGACTCACGTGAGGGCAGCCAGGTGGATGTGATAGCAGCGACTCAGGGGAGAGATGCAGCAGATCCGCCAGCGGCTTGAGGACGGGGAAGCAGTCGGCCATCAGCAGGGTGCTGTCGCTGGAACATGACACCTCCAACAGTCATCATCAGCAGCCACAAGCTAGACTCCTCGTTACCCATGTGCCCCCCCCCACATGTGTAATGTCACATGCAGCGAATCGCATGATGCGCCGGAGTAATTACAATCAAAAAGTACTAGAATTAAGATTTCCAGAGGAGTCTGAAAATCATTTCAAGGCAGCAAACCGGCATCTTACCTTAAATCTAGCGTTTGAATATGGGGGCATCTCGTCACCAGTATCTTCACGTCTGTACAAAGTGAACATTTAAAGTCATTAAAGATGCATGTCGATCCTTTTAAGCACTAAATCATTAAAGGATACGAATGAAAAGATTTGTTATAGTCAGTAAGTAAAAAAAGGGTAACATTGTTTACACCGAAATTCACAGCATTCAAAATGATTTTTGGGGGCTTTTGTAAAAAATAATCTGGATCTTTTAGACCAGCTGATATAACAACACAAAAAAGATCTGCAACTGTCCAGAAGGATCATCAATTAATCTATCGGCACAGTGAAAACACCATAAGATTTCTAAGTGGAATTGACGCCCTTTTCTTGCTGATCCACCGCTGACGCTCCGGTCGTCAGTAGCAACGTCGGCACGTGACGTTTGAGCACCAACACTCACCGTCCAGCGTGAGTCCCTCTCTGTACCCGCTCAGGTTCAGGTGAGTGAGTCGGGCGCTCACGCAGCCAACCACACTCTTGACGTGATCGTTGCTGAAGTCGCACCAGGCGATGTTCAACTGCTCGACGCTGCAAAAGGAGAAAAAAAAACAAACACAAAGCACAGCGTATTCAAAACGGCCGCGATGGGCGGAAGCGGCTGCGGTTATTTGGAGACGGGGGACGTTGACACGCAACGGACCTGGAGCAGGACGCCAGCATGTCGCCCAGAGCGGCAGCAGAGAAGCCAGAGCAGCCGCTCAGGTTGAGCTGCAGCAGGTTTGGATTCTTGGACAGAGAGCTGAGCAGGAGACGGGACAATAAAAATCAGCATGAGGGATGACGCGCGAAAAAGTGACTCCAAATAGTGAAGAGATTCACATTCATTCACGTTGCTGGTTGACGCAATGATGTTTGTCCGGTGGCAGCAGAGCAGATTGGAGAAATGGAGATTACCTGACGATGTTGTCGGAGAGCTGCAGACCCTCCAGGCTCAGATACTCCAGCTGCCTGCAGTGACACATGATGCTCTCCAGCGATGCGGTGGGGATGATGGAGCTGGAAAGGTCCATCACAACGATCTGCAGAGGGCTGCACAACAGAAAAGACAAAGCAAAGCCATCAAGCGCTTTTATTATTGTAGAAATACTAGAATCAGTTATTTAAAACAGAATGTTTGACAGTTGTGACCAAGAGAAAATCGACACAAGTAAAAGATGTTACAGTACCAAACTCTGACCATCAGAGGACACGTTGGGGTGTGAGCATTAACAGATTCATCAGTCAGACATTCATTTCATAGACTATTAACCACGTAAACACGCCATGCAACAAACATTAATACATTGTGATCAAGTTATTCTCTATCTCTCCTTAGACTTCCTGCTTCCACTTGTCTGCTTCCCCATTGGCTCAAACAGAGGATCAAAATATCTAAAATAAAAACAGACCTTTTATTTTTTAGAAATGGCTCAATAATTACACAATGTACTCGGTCAGTGTAGTTTTTTTTAAAAATCTGGATGAAAGAGCATTTGTCGGACTATTTTCTGCTGTGATTGAATCCACAAGTGTCAATAATAATACTTTGGGGTTTTTATAGTGCTTTTCTGGGTACACAAAGACGCTTTCAAATGTAAATCTAAGTAAGTCAAACATACAGATGAGAGAAATAGGCAGAAACACTAAAATATAAAAATAAAACGTTCCAGAGGGGAGGTGCAGAAGCTGAGAAGGCCCCCCCCTGGGACCCGGCGCTTGGTCCTGACGGCCTTCAGGGTGTTAGCATGGTGGACCTGAGGGACCGGGTCTGAGAGGCAGGTAGGGGCCGCGTTGTTTAGGGCTTTGTAGGCGATGAGTATTATAATAGAGGACAGTGTGGGTGTTGCTGCGATGAAGAGTCCTAATGGGGCTCTATGGGCTGAGGAAGAGGAGACATGCTCACACTGCACTTGTTGGTAGAAGCTCACTGAGGGTTCAGGTCTGCTCATGAGATTCATTGACAGTAAGTTTACAGAACAAGGTGTACCCGGCTGTAGCAGCCCAGGTGGCTCGGCTCAGACTCCTTGTGGAGCGTCAGCTCCTGCTGGACTCACCCGGTGCCCGTAAAGTGCAGCTCCTCCACGAAGGAGCGAGGGCAGCGCAGCATGCGGACGCCGGTCTTCAGCACCTGCTGCAGAGCTGGACCCGTGTGGGTCAACCCCTCCAGATCCACGCTGTGCCACAGAGACTCATCCAGCCTGCAACGGTGAAAGCAAGACTACGTTCATGGACATTCTACTGGGATGGACCAGTTTCACACTGATGTCACAACCATTGGCTGCTTATCACTACAGCTTTTCACGCATCGAGATGAATTTACATCTGGTTTCACATCTGTGTCTTGATGGAGATTTACTTCGATCGTAAATCCATTTTTTCAAGGTTCTTAGAACCCAAACGCCCCGTTGCAGTGAGTGGGGACTCACGCTATTCGACGCCAGCGCTGGCAAACTGTGGACATCCTAAGGAGGTCCTTCAGAGGAACGTAGAAGAGGACCCGCAGAAGGAGCTCGTCGGGCAGGTGGTCCCACGAGACGTCTGCTGGGGATTAAAAAGAAAAGGAGCACAGAATGAATTCATCGCAGTATCGACTAGGAGCAGCAGAGCGGGTCAGACGGGGCACGAGGTTCTCCTACATGACGCCGCTTCTCGCTTCCTCCTCGATCTCCTAGCGAGAACAAACTGGCCGCCGTCGTTCTCTTTGCCCTTGCTGGCGAGCCGCTGGTGCTTGTGGAGCGGGGACCACTGCTGGATGAGCTCTGTTGGGGTGCATTCCATCTCCAGGCCTTCGCCGAGACACCCTCTGGACCGGCGTTTGCACGTCCTCCGGGCCTGAGACAACACGGAGCCCCGCGGGCTGAGGCACGGCAGGTCCTGCAGCGGCATGCTGGCGTGGAGGGAGGAACACAGCATCCAAAGGTGAGCACATTTCACGGTGTCTCGGAGACATCGCGGAGACATCTCGGAGACATCTCGGAGACAGCGCGATCGCGGACCGCTCCGCTGCAGAAAGCAGCCTCCCTGCCCGCCATAACGATGCTGCGGCGGCGGGTGACCGCGCCAATTCTACAGGCAAACAAAAACGCCAACAGGCAGCACTTCTACGTCCTGTAAGGCGTCCAGAGCCACACGGGCGTTTTATTCTCGTCCCCAGTTACGCTTAATTGTGTGCCGAGTGTAACGTTGGTAGCGGAGCCGAGGCCTGGCTGCAGGAAAGCGCGGCATCGACAGAGTTACTACGTTAGCTTGAGTTTTAAACCGCGGCTGCACACGATGGCGACTCACAAACACCCGCGAACAGCGTTAGAAACCCGCATCGTGAGAGACAGAAGAGCAGCTGCTTCGTGGAGATCATCGTGAACTAGTTAACGTTAGTTAGCTGCCGTTTCCACATGCAAAGTAACTTAGTTAGGCTAACGCGTGACGCGCGGAGCGGTTGTAACGTACGGGCAGTACTTTCGCCCACAGGGATCATCGCGGGTAAAACCGTCGTATCAGTACCTGTGTTCCGACATCGGCTCCGGTTCGGATCCAGACGGTAACGTGTTCGTGAAAGGCTGCGTTCACCGCTGCCCTCCAAGCGAGACTCTTTAAACTCACCGCCGCGCGCCCGTATTTCTACGTCATCGACGTGGCTGCGTCGCACGTCACGCGGCTTCATGTGGCGTTCAAGTGTTGCTTGTTGCTTCCGGTGTCTTCACATACAAGAGTATACATGGATACGTACGTATACGTACACATTTATAGCGTTTGTTCTCCATATATTATATGTAAAAATACATACATTACAATACTTCATTTTACATATTAATCATTGACTAAACTAAATTTATATAATATATATTTATAAGAGCTGCTGTGCGGATGCTTCTTTATCTGCAGTCGGTATGAGAAGCGGTTAACAGACATGAGTTACCTCCCACAGAACTGTGCCAATAACTTCTATACAGATACGACTATTGTTTTATTATTACATCAGTGTGCTACTGGATCTGTCCACCTACCAGCATCTCTTTTATAGTCTTCATACCACCTGAAGCTCTTTAACTATGATGTAGTCATAAGTGTGTCACGGCAGTGGACCCACCCTACAATTTACCACATGGACTGAACAAGAATTGTGTCTTTAATCAGAAAACTGTTGGTTCACAAGGGAAAGTACTTGAAAGACAATTTTCATATCCAGATTTTTTTAATTGACTCCATTTAAAGAAGTGAGCAAACCTTTTCCCCACAACTTACAAGAGACGAGTTTCATTTAAGAGCATCGTGTCTGGATAGAACTGAATTCAAACTCCATTGAGGTTACAGGGTGAAAGGATGTGAATAAACTTCCCTTCCAGCTGATGACCTCAGATTTCCAATGAATAAATCACTGTGAGAATAGAAGGACCCAAATAAATTAGTACATATCCCAAATATTGTATAGTTTCAAGCTTTCAAAACTAGACTTAAAATGGTTATATTATTCCATTGTAAAATAGAATAGAGAATTTAATTTAGATACATGAACTCATCTGATGCCAACGGTTAGAATATATACACTTCTACATGAAGCAAGAGGAGACCATGGCAAAGGGATTTCATTACAAAACAAAGACACTGAAGGTGACGGACAAGAGTTCCCATCAGACATTGTCGGGGCAATTAAGGTGGTATTGTGACAAAGAAGCGCACTGCGGATGAGTGAAGCAGACTCCGCTACATGAAGGTACCTTTAGCATTTCATGTAAACATGTTGGGCTTCAAGTAAGACTGGAGAAGGTGAGCTCCACACGTCGGCGCTGCCTCTGTAAGGCTTCGGGTGAGGCTGGTTCTGTCGGGAGGACTGGATCTGCCTTGGTCTGGGCTATAATGCCAGGTGGGGGGGGGCGAACGTCATTTTAGGTGAGCACCTGAAGTCACTGTGCATGAGCCAGTCAGCCCAAGACCTCATCTCTCTTTGAGAGGTAAACGTGCAGCCCCGCCGTCTGAAGTGACACGTTCCGTTTACTTGGAGGACGCCGGGTCCAGATGCTTGAGGGCTCCTCCCACGAGGTGGAGGCTCCCGGTGATGAGCACGTGGACCTCGGCGGCGGCGCAGAGCGGAGCGGCTCTGGCCGCGACGCTGGGTTTCACCGGTAATTCCCCATGGGCCGGGTCTGCCAGCACCGAGTCCCTGCCCTGCGTGATCCACTGGAGGGCGCTGAGTATGCAGGGGAAGACCAGGGCGTCGGCCTTCTTCTCCGGGGCCAGGCTGCTCTCAATGAGCAGCGGAGCCCCTTTGGTGTGGCCCGAGCTGTTGTGGAGATGCCAGCTTCTCTCGTTGTCCAGGCAGCGAGTCAGCATGTGCTCCACCGAGACGTTGAAGTTCTGCTGGTCTGAGGAGCGACAGGATGACAAAGGTTTGAGTACAGTATCACAGATGGGGAAACTTTGGCAAAACTAGTTAGAGATCTAAAGCAATAGATCAACATTTTGTGAGACGCTTATCGGCTTTATTTTTATTTAAAAAGGTGACAATTTGTTTTTCTGCACCAAAGCTGCAGATCTCCGAAAATGCTCAACTACACCTTTAAAATCAACCACTGGGAGTCTCCAGGTAGCAAATCATCTCAGCAGCGCCTGTGGCAAAGAGTCACGAGTACGAGAACAAGTGATGTGTAGTGAATGGCCCTTCAACGTTCGTCTCCACCACTCACCTGCGTTGCAAGAAGCGATGGCTTCCGTGATGTTTGGGCAGAACACCGCAAAATCAAAATGGCATGGCTGAAGAGAGAAAGACCAGTTGAGCAGTCAGTACGGACTCGATTTAGCTTTCTTCAAATCAGGTTACACGGATTAGATCTCGTGTTCCTCATTAAAAAGCGCAGAGGGGAGTCTGGAGAGCCAAAGACGCTTCAGTCCTTAAACGTTTCACATCAGATCAGCTGTCTGGAGGTCACGTGGTTGCTTCCATGCGTGCACAGAGCACTATTTTACACACACACACACACACACTACGTTGTTAAAGACAATTACATTTTACTCATATAGCAAAAGAAATATGGATGTATGGATTTGTTGACGTCATCGAGGTAAAGGTTCTGGTTGGTCACTCAATGCGGTGAATAGCCAGTTTAGCCCCCGTGATCGCGGTTAAGACGGTTCCTCACCACCAGCAGCTTCAGCATGGCGGCAGAGTCTCTCTCCCCCGTAGCGTTGAAGAGCAAAACTCGGACCACGGGTCCACTGGAACACAAGCAGTTCACGGTTCTACATCAGTACGGTTTACGGGCGGCGTGGATGTTGCTACGTGGGGGCACCGTCACCTCGCATTCCTCTCGTGCTGGACTGCGGCCTCTCTGAACCAGTGCACGCAGGCCTGCATGCTGCGCATGGTGTGCGCTCCATCCAGGAAGTAGGTGACCGCTCCGTGTTTCAGCGTCTGATTCCTTCCCGGCCACTCGGTGTCTGCCAGCCCTGAGACCACAGTCACATCATGTCTACACGGCGCCGAACCCACAGATTTCATATTCTCAAAACGCGGCAAAGAATCCTTCTCTTTCCTGCAGGCTGAAACAGACTTTATTGGACCAACAAAAAAACGTTGTTCCCGTTTTGCTTTCATTTTCTTTGGATCCGGGAGGACAGCAGACAGCTGCTCTGCCCTCCATCGCCCCACGGTTTGCTTTGGACCAATAGGATGCTGCAGAAATGACCTTTGTCCGCTGAGTTCAACTAAGGTGCTTGAATCATTACAATCAGCTTGAAACAACTGAGTCAGCAGCCAGAAGATACTTCAAAACACTGACTGTGCATCCATGCAGGTTTCATTTGTGTTCCTGCAACTGCCGTCATTTTGCCTGTTTAAGATTTTAAAATGCTGAGCATTACTACGCTGGAGGAGATATCACACACACACACACAAATAATCTTTGTCATACTTTAAAGAACGTTTTTTTCTGTGTTTACTTGTGACAATCTGTAACTATAATCAGTGCTCACTCTTTAAACCTTTTCAAATTCTTTACTCTTGTAGAGTGAATGTGAATGTTATTTATTGTATTGGTTATTAGTGCCTGTTATCTCAGGGTGGTCCCTTATTTACTTTAGTGAATTATTAATAATTTCTGGTCTCATTGTTCTTGTGATAGCAGGTGAGCTGTACCCAGCATGCAATTCAACGGGGTCATTTTATAAAATATTAGTGTCCAAACTGTCCATCGGTCACAAACTGGTGTCTTACCCGGTTAAAGAGCTTTAGTTGGGAGTTAATTCTTGTTATAAAGTCATAACCATGACTCCATCTCAGACACTATGACTGTGTGAAAAATTCAAACTATGGAAATTTGAGACGGTTTTACGTCACAGCTGCTAAAAGTTGCAGAAAAAGTTCCGTCCCGATTGATTTGAACTATGACACAATAGCCGAGGCATCAAAAGGAGGATCATTCCGCTCTGATCTCCAGCACTCACCTTTTATCATGATGGGGCTGGGCTTGAAGGGAGGCGCCTGCCGTGGCGCCGCGCTCTCTACACTGCCTGAGGGGGGGCTCCGATCTGTGGAGCCAGGACAGCGTTAAGCCCTTTTCACACATTACATTTACAGAACACACCCGAGTTAGTCTCTGGCCCCCCCTCACCCGCAGCACCTTTTGAGGCTGATCTGATAAGAACCTCCTACATACCTATAAAATTGATGGGACATAAAACAACCCCCCCTCCCCCGTCCCACCTGGTAGACATCTTCTCTGCAGCCACGTGTGACTGAGCTGCAGGGCGAGGGAGGCGTTGGAGCGCTGGTGCCGTCCTGCCAGGCCCAGATGCAGAGGTCCACAGTGCGCCTGGTATTCCTCCAGCTCTGGACACACCCACAGGGGACACTGCAACAACAGGTGGAGCGTATGACAGGAGCACGCATCTCCGCCCCTGCCTGACCGCTCGGCGGGTCACTTACCCTCATCTCACTGGCCCGACTACTCAGCGTCACCATCGCGTCTTCCGGCTGCTTGACCGTGAAGGCAGGAACGCCCAGCTGAAAGGCACGCACGCGATTACCAGCCAGCGAGTACTTGTCACCCACGGTTTACGCTCATCTTTGACCTTAAACGCTCATGGATGGAGTTTGCTCAGTTTTAATCCTGACTGCACTTGAAGCCACCAGAAAAACTAAAATCGATGATATGAGATACAAACACAGGGAAACACGTGTAGGAGTCAACACACCTTGAAAATGCCTCCTTTCTGCCAGGCGATCTTTTCAATGGTGTCTCCAAGAATCTGAGTGTGGTCGATACCCAGAGAGGAGATGCCACACACCCACGGCCTCCTGCCGACACACAACCACAGCGCACACTCAAGTTGGTAAAACTGCAGTTAGAGGGAATGCGTAGCTACAGTTGGTGCTGTACGTTGGGACAAACAGGAACATGACGATACCATGTTAGCACAATACCACATTTATTACAATCCAATGCCATTTAATTAAGATCAGCTCCCTGATTAACACAACTTACATGCAAGGACATCAGAAAAAGGACAAATTCACTTTTAAGGAGTCTTACAAATCTACATTTGAGTAAATATTTGATAGCCAGAACACAGTTGACAGGATATTCATTGCAGTGTTTTAGTGTTCAGATCCAAGGCGGACTATGATCCGCCAATTAGCATTCGCAGTGATGAAGAAATATCCGAGGCTCAAAATATTTGTTTAAAACCACCGCCCTGCACACAGTCCAGCGCTCCACGGGCTCTTGGACTTTGGCCGGATGGTACAACAGGGACAGCCCTCCTTTGGTAACCTGTAAACAGTTTGTCCTGGATCCTGTCCTCGCATGCACACAACCAGGCGACTATGTGAACAAAGAGGAAATAAATGGGGCTTTCTAATCTGCATGGAGTTTTGAAAACATATCCTTCAAACTGCACTTAATTAAAGATATCAATAGATAGAATAAAAGTTCTAGTTGAGCAATATTTCCAGCTGGAAACAGCAAGTAAATAGGAATTGCGTTGTGAATATTGAGCCGTACCGTATAATGTTGGTGCAGTCGTATGCACCACCAATCCCAACTTCAATCACAGCCAAATCCACCTTGACAAAGAACAGTTATTTAGATTCCGAGGAAGTTGCCTTCAGCGCCGCGTGGTGCAGGCAGCAGCTAGCATACCTTCTCCTGAAGAAACACGTGGAAGGCCAAGATGGTGAGGAAACGGAAGTATGCCGGCATTGTTCCTCCGTGGGCGTCCTGCAGAAGAGAGAGCAAAGTTCTACACGTGAGGACTGAAAATCTACACTTGATGCAACGCTAAAAAGGTGGCGAGAACACAGAGAGACTGTGGGTCACAGTAGTCCAGCAATCAGGGTTGTCGGTTCGATCCCGGCTCCTGTAGCTGGGGCTATGCGTGTGAAGGCCAGTCACTGATGGCCAGCTGTCAGTGTGTGAATAATGACGTGCCGTTTACCGGCGTTTCCCTCGGCTCCACAGGCACTGAACCCCGGAGCACAAACAGCGCACACGTTGTGCCGTCTTCACACCTTTTCAGTGTCTTCGCTGTGTGACGCGCCGCTTCCAGTGGACACAATCGATGCATCATTTGTAATAAAAGTTGTTGGCAATCTGGTTGCCGACGCGTTACTATGGAATCAAACAGCCACACGCAATTGGCGCTTTAAGATTTCTAGACTAGAAATGATTTCTCCTGCAAACAAAGTGCTTTTGTTCAAGGAATGACCACGTTTGGCCAAACATTATTTTGACCCCTGATAATGAAAGCAGAGTGATGTCACATGATGGTCCTCACACGAGGGCTCTAATCTACTATGGACTCAAACACGGGCCGTGAAGCCGCTGATCAAACTGGAGCACACGTTACCTTTGTTTCGTCCAGTCGTCCATAAACCTGCCAGAAGTATTTGGTGAAGAGCTCTTTTCCAATGGGCTGCCCGTTGATCCGGATCCGCTCTCTGACTTGTACCAAATGTGGGGAACTTAAAAAAAAAAAGAAAAAAGGGACTTTTAATGGACTGATAAGTAAATAAATACCATGGCGGTGTATTATTTTCATGTTAATTATTAATGTGGTTTATTACACTTGCAGTCCTACGTAACAGAATCATATCAAGGACGTCATCTCTCAAAATGCTCGTGGCCACATACGATATTGGACATGAATCTAGGCAATGCCTTTCAAATGGGTCCTTTGGAGAAATGGTCCTCTGCAGTGAGCCTTGGCATTTTGATGTTGACAAACAGTGTTGTTACAATCACAAATGATTGAACTGTCGATCTTATGGGTTTAGAAATGTACATTTATTTGAGTTGGATGATTCACACATATGCATTTGTCCCTCCTCTGACGTTGTCACTAAGGTTTCTTCCCTTTTCCCGATTGGCTGGCGACCAGTCCAGGATGAACCCTGTCTGTCGCCCAGGTTGTCTGGGACAGACTGCAGCCCCCCGCGACCCTGCGCAGGATAAGTGCTTTGCGGATGGATGGATGGATGGAACTGAAATTGGGAAGTTGGACCCACCTTACATCGGGCCAATGCACTGTAATACCTAAAGAGATCAGCACAGCCAATATGTTCAAAGAGTAAAATAAAACACTATTATTTTTTTAATTTATAGAATCACTTCTCATAATCCTCTTTGATAATCGGCTCAAAAAACGAAAGGAAGCAGTGAAATCTGTTGCATTTCGGTAGGCGCCAGTATGGCACTGGTTTCCAGTAGCCGACACCAATCCTCGACCCCATCCTCCTTCCTACGGCACGCCCACCACATCACCAACACCTCTTCTTCCACCTCAGGAACGCTGCACGGCGCCGACCCTCCTGCTCCTTTGCCACCACGGAAACTCCCATCCATGCCCCGACAAGGTCGACTCTACTGCTCTGCAGCGGGCGCCAACCCGCCGATCGCATCTCCAAAATAAAATATTTTCGGCAGTGTCTGAAATGTTTCCTTATCGACTGTGGACCAACGTCAGAAACGATCGCCTGATTCATGAACGGCTGATCAGCCAAACACGCGTTGTCGTGCACCTGGATTTGCATACGGAAACGCCAGCTCCTTATAAGGGCATTAACGCAATAGATGCACCACGACTTCAGACTGATTCAAATCATGTCACAGCAGAAACGGCACCGGTGGAGTAAACAGACCTCTGTAGAATACATTCTGATGTGTCCATTGTGGCCATAATGTACGGTATATATGGGTAGATGAAATCCAGCATTGTGATTGGTTGGGAGGTAGTCACGGGGTGTACTGTGTTGAGCCATGATGTAATGTACCAGTTTACATCTCGCACTGATATGGAACAGTGGTCAATCAAAATAACAGTAGCTTAAGTTGATAAATAGTATCGTACAGCCCGAGATGTTTTTTCTTGTTCCTTGTGTATGCGGTTAAATCATTTCCATTTTATGTGAAGTCATTTGAAAGCTTAGTGTTGATTTTATTCCATTACAATTAGGCCAAATAAAAAGCCCTTCAGTAGGTCGATCTTGGGCTTCAAAAAGGTTGGTGACGAGTCCTCTACGGCTCAACAAAAACCTCAAAGAACGGCAATATGTTCAGAACGCTGCTGCTCACCTCCACCCACTGTGAACACTACGCAACCTCCACTGGCTCCCACTCAAACACAGGACAGACTTTAAATATTACTCATCACCTACAAAGCCGTAAACCACCACAAAGAAGGTTGGGGGCCGCTGTTCTACACCATCTACAAGTTAAAAACCCAAAACATGAGGCCCGTTTACCGACAGCTTCCTCCCTCCAATAAGCACATTAACACACTGCAGCTTTACCTGTAGAATCCTGTGCGGAAGCCGTGACGTCTTAAAATGTGCTCCGTGAACGCACATGTTGACCCCTGTAAGATAAACGGGGACACTCAGAGGCCTCATACAGTACACAACAGGTCACATGAGCAGTCACAGCTTGAATTATGTGAACAAAGGATGTAATATTTGTGAGGTGGAATCATTACTGTGCCTTTAAAATGTTACGTATAAAAGCCTTAAACAGGCCGGGTGACCCGTCAGCTCACCTTGCCCTTTGTTCCCGTCACATGAATGATATTGAGATGGTCCAGTTCTTCCACCTTTGATACCGGCACAAAAACATCAGATAAGACTGAGGGAAATAAATAGTCTGTCACACAACAACAGCATCCTCTGTAATCCTTCAAGTGGGCACAGACCAACACTACAAAATATAAAAAAAGGGACTCGCTGTGAGGCCGGAGCGTTCCAGGAAGCCCCTCATGGCCTGCAGCTGCAGCTGAGGGTTGCTCCGCTCTCTTCGGACCTGCTCCAGAGAACTGGCATTGGTTTGTAGTGTGTTCAAAGTGCAAATGGCATCCTGCAGCGAAAGGAAAGGGGGAAATGTCTGAGCCACGGCACAGGACAGTAGCTGGACACAGTCTGACGTGTTGCCATATGCAAAACATGGAGCCTGGCTGATACCTGGTCCCAGGAAGGGATTGGTGCACACATTAAAACCAACTGGATTTAATGTGCTAATTAATGGGATTGAAAGGTGTTGGTAGGTGTACACATGACAAGGAATATGAATCCAGTTTTTCTATTGTCTTGGTACGCTGCAGCCACAGCCAAGGACAAGGGCAGGCTTCAGCGTGTCATCCGCTCTGCAGAGAGGGTGATCGGCTGCAATCGGCCGTCCCTGCAGGACTCTGAAGCAGCTAAAAAGATCGTAGCCGACCCCTCCCACCCCGGACAAAACCTGTTTGTGCCCCTTCCATCTGGCAGGAGGCTGAGGTCCATCAGGACTAAGACCTCCCGCCACACCGACAGTTTCTTCTCGTCGGCAGTCGGGCTCATCAACAGAGCCGGTCCCCCACTGACTGACTGACATTCCACCGGTCACCTTCACACTGCACATGTCACTTTAACTGTTATTTTTCACTTTGTCGTCACTCGTCACTTTGTTACTTGTTCGCTAGTGCACTTTATGCTTAATATTTTATAACTTGGTTAATATTTTAAATTTCTAACTAACTTTATTCTCTTTTATACTAACCCATAGCCTTATTCTACTAACTCATTGCATTAGCATTTAATTTTATTGTATTACTTGTGCACTGCTGTCTTGTTGTCTATTGTTACACTGTCTACTGTCACGCACCAACCGCCAAGACAAATTCCTTGTATGTCTGACATATTTTGGCAATAAATGTTTCCTGATGTTTGGCACACTTGTTGTCCATTGAGGCCGACGATGACGCCTACGGTGAGTTTAGTGCTGGCTGTGTAGTCCGATCCTGGATCCACAGGTCTTGTAGCACGTGGGACATGTGCAGGTCCTAGTGGTTGTACTGGCAACCTTGGTGGAGTTTATTTCATGCCTGCTTTCATCTCCTGGCCGTCTTGTCCTCCTCCAGTGCTTTGGTCCCGTCTCGGCACATCTGCCGCCAGATGTTACAATCAGCAGCCACGCCCTCAGTCAGCGTGGTTACATGGATTCCAATAACTGGCTTAGTCGAACTGAAATCAAATGATCCGTTTCATGTAAACATCTTTGTCCGACTATGTGCGGTCCGTCTACGATCCGACTAACACCCCTGGATAACTCCATCCGATCCAGTTGACAGTTCGACTATCGCGGCATTTGACGGTGAATCGGATGAGGAACTGGACTTTGCGTCTTTGCGCATGCTTGAGATCCCGACGCCGTCTTCTCTCCGTTATCAAATCAGCCAATAGCGCCATTCGCTGTGCTCCTATTAACATCATGCACAGATAGTAGAGGGATGTAGCTTCACCTTGCTCTCCGCTCGCCATCTTTCTCGTGATGTTGTTGGTTGTTGTTGTTGGTCGTGGTGAAGCGGTCAAGCGGAAATGGCTGTATCACAACTAGTTGTAATGAAAACAGCGCCACCTATCGTATCGAGTATGACATGCTCTCAGCCAATGATTAGATTTATTCACCGCCATGTATATTGGGATAATAGCACCTCCCCCCGAAAGAGAGCATCGTCCGACTAAGCAAAGATTCCAATTATACCATCATGTAAACACACTGAGAGTCTGATTTTACTCTTCTTCAGCACCGTTTTTATTTGGTCTTTATAGCCCTTCTTCTGGCCTCCAGCAGAGCGTTGGCTTTAGGCGAGCTGTGCATACAGCACTCAGTGAGGCATCGTAGCTGGTGGTGGGTGACGGTGGCCTCTTACAGTGCTGAGTCATTCCGAGCATGCACTGTGAACGAGAGAGCCTCAGGCAACGGTAGAGGAGGGTGCTGATGCAGACAGTTTGATACGCAGATTTTCGTATGGAGATGGAAGTTCTTGAATAGAAAAGACCCGGCGCCTCCCAAAGGCAACTGATGCTTGCTGGACTCTGTTCTGGACCTCATTATGGTCTCGGTGGATGTGCGCTCTTCATCTGCTGGTGTGAAAACGAACAACTTTTCTAGTCATCCGACCGCTCAAACCGCTTGAACACGACATGTCATCATTCACCTATTAGATCGATGACAGGAGCTACCACACAAAGTGCCACCTGCCCGTCAGGAACTACATTCACACGCAGCGGTCACGGGAGCAGTGTTGGGTTACGTGTCCTGCCCAAAGACATGGACACGCCCTGGGATCGCGTTGCCAGTCCTCAGGTTGGAGAGGCTGAGCTCTCCACACACCCAGACGTCAGTAAAGCCCCTGAGGGTTGAGGGGGAGATGTTTGGGCCGTGGCCTCAAGTGCACGAGATCCGACCGCCTTCAGCTTGTTGGAAAAAATGATTTAAAAAGTGAAATGTGGCAGAACTTTGGCCCCATTACATAGCATGTGTAATCAATGGTATGATGGTTTGTGGTTTAAAAGAAACAACAGTAACATGAATAGGGCAATGACTAACGCAACAAGTTGCTCTGGACAGCTGGTTACATTACTGCGCTCAACTCAGCCGACGCTTGGATTGTAGTGCGCGTCTATGCTGACATTTACGGTATTGAAAAAGTAACCGGAATAAAAGCTGTTTAATCAAATATTCTGGACAATGACTGAAGTATGTATGTGTGTTCAGGACCATTCTGACTGCTATTGTACAAAAAAGGAATACGTTTACTGTACAAAGTTGGATAATTATCCTATATTTCAAGTTCAAAAGGACCATTTCTCAAGTTTGAACTGCAATAAAAATACTTTTCTCAATAATTCCAGTCAAAGACTAACATACATGTGTTGAGGACATATCTGACTACTATTGTAAGAAAATTGAAAAAAACTTTACTGAACATATTGAGATTTATTCAAAGTAAAAGCCCTGTAAACATGTAATTGCATGTTCAAAAAGACCATATCTCCATATTTGAAATGCAATAAAAAAATAGCCTTTGGGTAAGTCTCACACAAAGACATTGTTCCGTCTGAGGGCCCGAGTACACGTGAGTGACAAACACGTAACACACATACGTAACACACACACACACACAGACGCAAACAGTAACAAAACAGCGCAATAATTAACGCAACAAATTGCTTCGATCATCTGGTTACAGATTGACATGTTAACAGTTTCGTGTTTCTTTAGCTTTAGAGTGTTTCCGTAATGTTGAGTTCAAACAAAACACAAAACATGAGAAGAAAAACAGCGGCTTGGACCACGTGTCTGCACTGACGTGACAGCGTGCCGCGGGCTCCGTGCACACCGGCAGCTTCCACCGCACATACACACACACACACACACACACACAGTCAGCCATGTTTCTATGATCCCAAAAACTGTGCACGCACTACAGCTTTAACCCAAACGTGTCCACACAGCGCCGGCCGCTAGCTCGCTAGCAGGCGGCTGAGCGAGCGGCAGGAGGGGCGTACCTGGTACTCCATGCCCGGTATCTGCGGCGCCGCCTCGGTGCTGTAGCGCCTGAGAGACAGACCCGCCGAGCCGAAAGGCCAGTGGTGCGTTCCGAGCCGCGCGGCAGAGACGGAGCCCCGCTGCCACATGCGCAACATGCACAGCACCATGGCGGGAAGAGCCGTCCCGGAAGCCGCGGCCAAATATGGGCGGTCCCGCCTACGCACGCAAATGACGTCGGGACGCGCCCCAGTCTTTTGACAGAAAGTATTAATAAAAGAATAAGAAAAAGATTATTTATATTTGTATATATTATGTATATTTTAGCAGGTACGTGTAGTGCCGTTTTCTGTTGTTTATGTGGTCTATGTAACCGGGAACTTGTCTGTGTATAGCTCACTAAACAAATCTTCCATATTGCAAGCTATAAATGACCTCTCGCGGCCCATCTGCAGTACCTTCGCGGCCCACCAGGGGGGCGCGGCCCACACTTTGGGAATCGCTGGCCTAACGTTTGATTTGTGGGACGAACGTGTAACCACAGGGACACATGGCCCAATTACGTCACGTTAAGTAAAGTATATCTTCCAGGCAGTAGTGCTCCTCCAGGCCACCAGGTGTCACGTTCACTTCCCTGCACTAAAACGCCATGTTGCTGCCTTCAAGAACCGTTACTGCCCAAAGAAGTTCACAAATATTATTGGACTAGAAGTAATATTTTGATTAATTGATATCATATTAATATGTGAATTGAATGGATTGTCAGTTTTTTCTATATATTATTTGCACTGGTATCAATAAATAAATCAAAGAATCACTTGCTGAGCTCGCGGAGCCTGAGTTTCACTTGAACGCAACACTCTCAACACACAGCGGGGTCGCAGACTGAAAACATGCAGCGAGAGAAAACAACCAACTCCGGCGCGGCTGAAAAGTAAGAATATAATGGCGTACATGTTTACCTTTAAAACGAGTGTATTTCAACGAATCTAGTAAAATGGTTCAGATCCTGTTTAGCTTGTGTTCCAACAACATGAAATTACATTTCTCTTCAGGCCCGACCGAGAGGCCGCCATCATGTCGAAATACTACGATGGAGTTGAATTTCCTTTCTGTGACGAGTTCTCCAAATATGAAAAAATGGCAAAAATAGGACAGGGAACCTTTGGGTAAGTCTCACAAAAATTCCCCTTTCTGTGTGTGTTTGAGTGACTAACACGTAACGTTGTACTTAACGGAGAGTATTGTGTTAGCTGTGCTAAGCTAAGCTAACACAAGTCACGTTAAGGTAACGTTAGTAACCGTGTTTGCAGGCGTTCAAACAGCAAAGAGACGTTATACATGTTAACAAATCTAGAACGTAACGTTGGTAACGTACTGACGTAAATGTAGAATTGTGGGGAAATAGTTGTTGGCATTAAATGGTGCAAATAATATTCAATGTGTGGTTTATAATTGCACCGTAGTTTACTTGTTGTCGTTGTTTGTAAAACAAAGTGAAAGTGCTTTATTTGTTATGTGGCTGTCATGTTGTTATTGTCGTTTCACAGGGAGGTGTTCAAAGCGAAGCACAGACAGACTGGGAAGAAGGTCGCTTTGAAGAAAGTGTTAATGGAGAATGAGAAGGAAGGGGTAATATTCCACTCTAATTATTTCAATGGCTGATGTGGAATTCTTTTACTTTAAATATATATATATTATATATTTGATCCATATGACCCGAAGGATGTTTCTAGTTACACGTTTCAGTGTCTGCCCTCAGTTTACAACCTTATGGGGACGTAGTTTGACATACGTGTGTAGTCGCCTGCCGCTAAATTGAGTTTGATATGACTTGAATCATGTAGATCAGAAGAGATTTTATTCTGGGGAGCGGTGGTCAACTGGCTGGCCAGCGCTACTCAGATTGGAGTGAGACCACCAGAAAAGGTGGTATCATGATCTTTGCAAAAAAAACATCTTTGACGTGATGTAACGCGCCTACAACAATCCGCATTGAGATCCCTGCAGCGTCTTCACTTCCCCTCCAACTTTCCATTCTTTCACTCCAAGTCAGAGTTGCCAGTTTAGCAAAAGGTACTAGCAGGAAAAACCTAGCCACCTTTTCTGCTGTTATTGGAGACTTTTCTGGTGTCTGCCATGATAGTCAGTCTCACAGGAGCCTCCCAGCTGCAGTTGGAGCAGAGATGAATCGCTGATCCCACAGCGTCCACTACGGCTATGCAATTTAGGGATTGCTGTCATTTAGCGGCCCTTCGCTCTCCGAGCAGAACCTCGTTACTCGTTCTACACGGGTCCTCCTTTTACGGGCTTGGGAAGCTGTCGCTCTGATCCACGTGGGTCTGCCTCGATTCCATTGGCTCTGACGATTCCATAGAGAGGCTGGACTTAGAAATCAGCCGAAAAAATAAAAAGGCTCTAAAAATTAGTCCGCTATTGCTGACAAAGTACAATACAAGAACCCCTTTACACTGATATTTGTAGCCCAGCGAGCGTTTCAAATACAGCTCTATATGGAACACTGGGTTTTGTTAAACATTATAATCCATAGAAGTCTTTAAAGTGCACATCCAGCACTTGTTTCTGGCGTTCAGACACCAGTATGATGTGACGAGCAGGTCCAGTGTTACTGACCTGCTGTTTACATGCTGAGCACACAGTGCTGTTTCCCTCTGCTCTGATATTGACTGCATGCTGAATTCATATTAGTGTATCAGTGCTTGTTAGGTCATTATAAGGTTCTCTCTTTGTTTCAGTTCCCGATCACGGCTCTCAGAGAGATCAAGATCTTGCAGCTGCTCAAACACGAGAATGTGGTCAACCTGATAGAGATCTGCAGAACCAAAGGTTGGTGTCAAACATCCATGTCTGTTCTCCATCTTACGTTTGCCACGCCTAAATGTTTCCTCAGGCCAAGAAGAGTTTTTTTTTGGTTCTTTAATTTCGACTTGTCATTGTTCTTGAAGCTACTCAGTACAACAGATACAAAGGCAGCATCTACCTGGTGTTTGACTTCTGTGAGCACGACCTGGCCGGGCTGCTGAGCAACGCCAATGTAAAGTTTACACTCGCAGAGATCAAGAAGGTCATGCAGATGCTGCTCAACGGATTGTACTACATCCACAGAAACAAGGTGAGGCGTTGTTCCACGTCATCATCGCCTGGTTCTTCTGAGTAGGGATCTCACACCGAAATGTACGATAAACACCTTTGAACCGATCCCTGGTTCTCCTCCTGACTTCAAGGACTTCTTTATCATTATTAGACAATCAGGAGAAAATATAAATGACCATCTCCAAATGCATGTTTGTGATGGCATTCGTGTGCAGCATGGGACGTGTCTGCATATTTTATATCCTGTTTTAAACCCTAGAAATGCCACCTCATTTATCAATCTTAACCGCCTCTCTTGTGTTCACCCGTATGTTATCTCTTTGATCAGATCCTTCACAGAGATATGAAAGCAGCCAACGTGCTGATCACCAGAGATGGCGTCCTGAAGCTGGCCGACTTTGGGTTGGCTCGAGCCTTCAGCCTGGCTAAAAACAGCCAGGGGAACCGCTACACCAACCGCGTGGTCACACTCTGGTACAGGCCTCCAGAGCTGCTGCTGGGTGAGAGGCGACCACAAAGCTCCTCACTGAACACACAACAAGCGACATGCATCTGGACTCTATATTTATTTCCATGTCATATATCTCATTTTTCTCAAAGGTGAGCGAGACTATGGCCCCCCCATCGACCTGTGGGGAGCAGGCTGCATCATGGCGGAAATGTGGACCAGGAGTCCCATAATGCAAGGGAACACTGAGCAGCATCAACTCACTCTCATCAGCCAGCTGTGTGGTTCCATCACTGCTGAGGTAAGATGCCGTCTAACAGAACATCAACACAGACTCAAGTTGCATTACTTGGGGACATGCGTGTGTTTTCTGTCATGGGGATCATGATCTGTTCCGGCTTCCTGTCAGGTGTGGCCGAGTGTGGATAAGAAGTATGAGCTTTACCAGAAGATGGAGCTGCCTAAAGGCCAGAAGAGGAAAGTAAAGGATCGCCTGAAAGCGTATGTCAAAGACCCGTACGCCCTGGATCTGATAGACAAACTCCTGGTCCTGGACCCGGCACAGCGCATAGACAGCGACGACGCGCTCAACCACGACTTCTTCTGGTCCGACCCCATGCCGTCAGACCTGAAGAACATGCTCTCCACCCACAACACCTCCATGTTTGAATATCTGGCCCCACCCAGACGGAGAGGCCACATGCCCCAGCAGCAGCCCAACCAGAACAGAAACCCAGCCACCACCAGTCAGGCTGAGTTTGATCGGGTGTTTTAGTGCTTGAAGTCCTTTTGTTGTTATTCACAAGTGTCTTTCCCAACCAGCCGAATCTCACATTGCGGTTTTGGTTGCGTTCTGGAGACCTACTGCTCCGTGTGCACAGCAGAGGACGCGGGTTGTTTACGCTGACCAGGAACAGGACTCTTAATATTCAGTTCATGTCATGTATGCAAGCCAGGTTATTATTTCCCAACCTGGTGTGGTCTTCCCAGGTAATAATGAAGAGAATGATGGTTGACTCTGGCTCCGCTCGCCTTGAGTAGACCCCATATAGTTTTATTTTGATTAGTAATTTTTTTTTTTTTACATTTTCCCACATAATTATTATCATTGTTTTGTTTAAAACAAAAAAAGCTGTGTCTTTAAAGGCTGTGGGTTTTTTATTTATGTTAAAGTGAGAAATCTATTTAAGCCATTTTACACAAAGAATTCACAAATGGCTAAATATAACGAACCCAAAATAAAAGTTCTTACTTGAATAAGATTGTGTGATCATGGGTTTTTGCTGAGGTTCACGTCCAACACACCAATGTACATTTTCCTGGTGTTCTGAATATCGTGTGACAGAAACACGAGCTTTGAGCGCTCACTGAAGAAACTGAGCAAGAGCAGCTGCGGAGGAGGCCGTCGGGGGGAAAAGGGGGTCTTCACCACACTGATCGTGGCTGAGCGGCCATGCAAGGTTCTTGCCTCCAAAGTTGGGTTCATCGTCATTCTCGGGGACACGTAGGACGGCTGTGGCAGCAGACCGATCGATGTTAAGACACGTGAGCTGCAACCTACATGGTGGCAGGTGGTGTCTGTGCATCTTACTGAATGCTTTAGTGAATTCTTGACATAGTTTCCCTTCTGTTGTTAAAAACTAAGAAAAATTGAATCTTCTGCTTCAAACGAAATGAGATCACGTAGAACTTAAACAAAGTCAACATTTATTGGCCACCAAAGCTTGACGTCCGGTTGCATTTGCAGCCTCTTGATTCAAGCCGTTGTCTTTTTCCCTGGTGTGCCCTGTGATCCACACTGCTGCAGCCTGAACTTTCTGCCCTCGTTCGAAATGATGATTGGTGATTTGGTGATGATGTCTGACCTGCATGACCGTCACCCAGAAATCCAACCAAACGTGTTTGGTTGGCACCTTCCTCACGTGAGGAATATCTTTAGTTGTCAGCCTCCGTTATCCTCATCACGTACACTTGTCAGTGAAATCTAAAAGAAGTGAGAGCTGAGCGGAAGAAAAACAAGTGAATTTACGTTTGTGTCCTGTAGTTAAAAGACTCCCTGACTTTACGAACGGCCAAAATGAAAATAGTGTCCGGGTCCACAGTGTATACTTCAAGAAAGGCATTTACCAAAACTATTTCTTTCCTTTACATATGAATGTGCATGGTGCTTCTGGTGGTATCCTTTGTGGCTACTAGCGTTAATGTCGGCTTACGAACAATTAAACACATTTTTGGTGCCACCAATGGCTTTGACGAGTCACATGACCAGTAAGCGGGGCCCTTCTGTCTGCAGTTATATCTCAGTATAAATACACGTGTTCTGTGAAGGCCTCGCAGTTTGTTAGAGAGCATTGCTGAACAAAGAGCATCATGAAGACCACGGAGCTCACCAAACAGCTCAGGGATAAAGTTGTAGCTTAGCATGAAGCAGCGTTAGCTTCTAAAAACGTTTCCCAAGCTTTGAATAGTTCACGGAGCAGCAGAAAATCCATCCGTCAAAAAAATGGAAAGAATATACGGCAAGAAGAAAGCCGCTGTTGAAAGTAAAGCGTAAGAAATGCCGTTTGGAGTTTGCCACAAGCCACGTGGGACACAATACGTGGGAGAAGGTGCTCTGGTCAGATGGGACCTGGTCAGGGACACGCGGTGGTGGTCACATCTGTGGGGACGCTTCTCCTCAGCAGCTACAGGGAGACCAGTCACAGCTGAGGGAAAGAAGCATGGAGCCAAATACAGGACAATCCTTCATTCAAATCTAAGGCAGTCTGCAATTTAAAAAAGTCCTTTCTATCTATTGCACAAAGTAAGGGAAATGTGATGTCACAACTGTGCATTACAGAGACCTTTCTAGTGTCACGGTGAATGACGTCGACCGACCATAATACTATAGCATTATTCTATTTTCAGACTGGCCGTTTGAGAGAAGTTTTCTTGAACATTGAAGCATATTAACATGTTAGATGGAAACGACAAAAACGTGGCAAAGAACAAGATATGTCTTAAGTCTTAAGCAGAGCCTAAAATCCTCTTCGCCTAACGCATTTACTAATATGCAAATATAGCATCCTATATTTCTTAAGGATCCCCTCAGGCTCATAGTTTCACTGTCTAACAACAGGCTGCATGTGGTGTCAAACTGGAGCTTTCCTCAGATGATGGATTGCTCTTTTAGTTCCAGAGCTCCTCTGCTCCATTCTGTGTGTGTGTGTGTGTGTGTCAATGATGAACAGCAACCAACATAAATTAGAAAGTGCTCCAATGGACAGATGGACCCCCGACTAAAGCCGCCTGCAGGCAAATAGCCTCACATTTTCTGCATAGAAACCACCCTGCTGATTGTCTCAATGAATGAGAGGTCAGGAGGCAAACTAAGCTGTGCCAGCTTTGGGCCGGAGAAGGTTCACTGGGAACTGGCGCTAGAAGCTCCATCACGGTGTCCGTCTGACGGATGTGATGGCAGCGCGTCAGGGTTTGTCTTGAGGCAAACGCGTCTCAGAGTGGGATGTGGGATTAGTTCTTTACATGCAAAATGGTTGAACAAGTTGTCATAATATGTCAAACATATTTCTACACACTTCCATTAGACTTTTTTTCTTTATTTGAAAATTGGTCCGAGGTGAATCTTGATTTTCTCTAATAAAATAGCAAGTATATATATATAGCCGGACCACCACACAATGTTACAATGGAAGGACAAGGAATTGGACGGGGTCAACAGCCAGAGAGAAGAGGAAGAGGAGTGTGGCTGCCTGGTGGAGGAGTTGGGAGGCAAAACAGAGGAAGAGGCAGAAGAAGCCGATGACACCTGAGGGGATAAGAGCCACACCTGTGCACATATTATTGGGCCAAGCAGTACAGAGGCTTTTTACACTCTCCACAGGGATCTCACCCCTTAACAAGAGAGGGTCAGATCGGAGATGACTTTTCAAAGAATCCAATAGTTTGGGACGATGTCAGTTTCCGTGGCTCCAACATCATCAGGTGATGGTTTGCGACCTGAAACAGGATGCTGATGGCGTTTCTTCCACCCTACGCCACATCCCTCAACCCCATGGAGGGAAATATGTAAAAAGCCAGGAGTTAAAAATGCAATGTAAGTCGCTTTGGATAAAAGCATCAGCTAAATGACCTGCAATCTAATCTAATCACAGCAGACGCCTGCAGAGGCGGGATAAGACACTCTAAAAGATTCTTTCCACGCTGCATCGCAAGAGTATGCAGTGATGTCTTTTCCTCTGTAACACAATGACGTGGTCCGTCAACAAATTACGGTACAAACAGTAAAAGCGTAAATGTGAATCCAGTCTCTTGCAATCAATCTCCCACATACACACAATTTAAAATAATTGTCATCAAAACTTAGTTTACATCAGAACAGAACCTCCAGAGTACATTGTTCTACTGACAACATGACTCAGCAATCTGACTGTCTGGTCCGTACACGATGACACGAGGACTCGTCATTCTGATGGACTGACATGTTCATCCACGCAGACATTTACTTTTAAGAGATGAACGAAGGACTTTGAGCAGGAGACTGTCTTTGCAGGCAATCCGTGGTGTTTTGCTATATGTACTAATAGTTTTGAGAAATGTACATTCTGTTTTGTTGAGGATGATTCGAGAAATTTACCAAAGCAACTGAGAAAAACTGCAAGCACAAGAAACCGATTGCTGCTGTGTTCACTTTGCTCTGCCGAGGTGATTTCATCTGCATGGTACTATGCAGTCCTCTGCAGGCACAGATCCTTGCTAATAATGTTAAAGTGCCTATAAAAAGTATTTACCTTCATTGGATGTTTTAATCAATTATGCTCAACATATATATATTTAACTCTTTAATATCAAAGTGGAAACATATTTCTACAAAATAATGTCAACATTAAAAATATAAAAATATGGTAAAGTAAATGATTTTATAAATACTTGCCCCTTAAGGTCAGTATTTAGTAGTAGTAGTAGTAGTAGTAGTCTGTGTGGGTGTCTGAATCAGGCTGCAACATCTGGACCTGCCATTTGTCTCCATTCTTCCATGAAAACCACCTTTACAGAGGCAGAGATCTTAGGGGCTAAACGGTGTTCATATCTGCTACGACAAGACCAAAGCTCCATGCTTGTCTGTCTCCATGACTGAATGGAGGACGTGAGTGTGACTTGCAGTGTAAACGCATGCATCCAATGCCTGCCTGGAACTGTTGGCCTCATCACACATATCTAAAGGGGCTTTGGTTGAACCTGCAAACGCAATTACATTTCTGTTGTAGCAACATATGTTTCAACATCTGTTGAAAAGGGTCTTTTTGCTGCTGCAGCTTAATTCTGTAATATTCCTCCGCACACTAAATATCTATGAATAAACACTCACTCTCTATTAAAAAGAACTGTTTCCTAACAGACTATGATAAGCTTGCATCATGACGCAGCTGACTGCTTATACACAGACCCTCTTCTTCTCAGCGTTGGATAAGAAGTGCTTATTGTATGTTTACATGCTTAAGGATGGTTCAGTACACAGGCCCCCACCCTTGATCACGCTCTTTGTGTGAATTTCAATTTGCAGTGCACACTTTTGCAGACAGTGACTTCTTCTTGCAAGAATCCAACAAAACATGTTAAAGACAACATCTGTTTGATTATTTTCTTTATTTCAGTTCCAAAAGAGTCAACAGCGGGTACAATTACCACACCGCCCAAAGGTCTAACCAGAAGCACGCCATCCACCAACAACCGCTTCCTGTTTCCAGTTCTCCCCACTCATTTCTACAAATCGGACCCAGTTTCTTTGTGGATCTATTTCATGAGAACCCCGAGTTCAGACCAGGAAGTGGAGCCGCAGTCTTACACACTTACCCGCGCTTTTATCAAAGCAGTTACCCAAAACCCTTTAGAGCCTGTGTTTGTGCCAAAGGCCCCTTAGATGAATGAAATCCAAAGTAAACTGTCAAGGAGTTTAACAAAAGAACCTAATTGAAGACAGCATCAACAACAGTGCAATTAAATGCAATCATTTTAAACATATAGCTCCGTCATCTAAATCTGTATTAGTGAATGATTTGATATCAGATAACCATACTGATGTATTTTGCTTTACTGAAACTGCAGCTGTGAAAATGTCACGATAATCAGCAACATTGAGATATTTAAGTCTTCAAAAAAAATCAAAAATGATGCACTGGTCCACACTCACATATGTCCGTCCATAAAGCCACCCTGCATGGCGAAAAATGCACTGTTGACGAGTTGTATCTATACAAGTGGTCGA